AGGTAGAGCCGCCACGCAGGCTATTTCCGCGAAAAATGACAAAACCAAGTTGACCCCATATTGAGTAATTTGTACACAAACTGATGTTGAATCACATCCTTCGCGACGTCTTGTGATTACATTCAAGTTGGTGAGTATATTACACCCTCCTATATGCTTGTAAATAAGTATTTATCCGTTAAGAACCTGGAAAATAAGCTCCGATGTAACTAGTAGTAACATAGGAGTTCATTTCCTGGTTTATATCATTTGGCGAGATCGATCATTGATTTGTACTATAACAATAGACTTTATAGGTCGCCATATCTTGTTTGCACTTCAGTAGTCTGCTGAGAAAATCGAGCGCGAAAGAAAATGGCATTAGAAATGTGCATTCTTCACTAGAGTAAGAATAGCTGCATTAATTGGAAAAATGTGCTTCACAGTTGAGCTAGTTTGCTACAAAAGTTAGATACACTTCTAACTGGACAGCATGAATAGCTTTCCCTCGAAAAACGCTCGAATACACATTTGTAAATATCTCGTCACCAACTGAGCATGTATTCGAACGGAAAATTTGATTAACTACTAACTAATATCATAAACTAGATGTTTTCCATGTCTGTTTCTTTTAATCAGGCCAACGAAAAGCGAGATAATCGAAAATTCTGAAAATGGCAGCAAAGTTGTCTCAAAGTCTTGAGGAGCAGGTCACTTGCCCCATCTGTCTAGAGCAGTACCAGGGTACCCTCGCATCCTTCCTTGTCTTCTTGTCTTCGTGATTGACGAAGTCCCCATTCGATTTATACAGCGTTGATATAAACTATCCTGATTATATAGTTTTCTTTTTGTCACTTTTGATCAGGAATACAATGAATGAACTGAGAGTGCGGTTCGAGTTCTTTGATCTCATTTTCAGTTGTAATTCGTAAAATAGTGAGTAAAAATGATTTAAGAAGACAATAATTCTACTAATAGTTTCTGAATCGCTGAACTAACTTGTGGAAAAGGCATTGAGTAGCCGCGTTGGGTTTGTGTCGTAGAGAAAACCATGTAGTAAAAAATAATTGAAAATTTAGTAGTAATGATTGAGAAAATGTTTTGTAGGGCTTACATATAA